CCAACACGGACGCGGGCGGCCACCGCGGCCGGCAGGGACAAACACCAACCAAGAATAGGGTTGGGGGGGGGGGGGGGGTGGTGCTCTCCGAACGATTTGCACACGTGTCCGGCAAAAGGTGTTGGCCAGGGTAAAGATCTACGCCGAAGCCGCCAAACATCTTCAGTGCTCTCTGAACGATTGGCACACGTGAAAGGCAAAATACCTTGGGCCAGAGAAAAACATCTTCGCCAACAGCAGGGGCGGGCGGGTCGAGGGTACCCGCACGTACCTATGCGACCCCACTTCCAAGCCGTTGATGGGGAGCTCTTGTTGCAGTCCCTCGAAACAAAAGGGTCCTGATCTGGAAGCCGTGTCTTTCCCTTCGATCATCGAATCTACCCAGACGCAAACCTGCGTTTATATTGTTGGATCCGCAGAGAGCTGTGGTTAGCGGGAAGAAGTGGTAGCACGGATGGGTGTAGCGGAGGTTTGGAAAGCCTGCCGCGGTCGAGCATTATTCAGAGGCGCGTGCATCGATGGGCCGTGGCTCAACACTCATCAATTCTTTGGGTCTGCTCGCAGCACCTTTTGGTGTATTGTACACAGCAGCGTCTGTGCTCAAACTCCTCTTGACGTGTTCCACCCTAAGTTGTTATTTGGACCCGATGCTTCCCATTGACTCGCAAAAATACACGTACGACAAACTAGACTATCGTAGTGCAAACATCGGGAAAGAAAACAAAGCAAAAACCCACAACACCTGAACACACTGACTCGTATTTGTTTTTCACAGCAACATCCGGAGTACGAACATCTGAATGCACCCATTTTTCGTAGCTGGTCCCGCCTACGTTACATGCCCCCTCCAACCAGAATATTGACACAGCTGTACCACGCAATAACCGACAAAATACAGAATGTCAGTTCGTGTAGGTGTTATCAGATTCGACACAAACAATATAACTCAAACACCATTGTTGGGACAAAACCCGTACCTTCTGAAGCAACACGACCGTACACGAGTCTAGTGGCGCTGATCCATCTTCAAACTTAGCTGCATTGCTCTGTGGCCCGTTCTACTACATCTTTTCAAGGGTGGAGCCAGTTATGTCTGCCTGTCGGGCTAGCATTGCGGCATGCTCCGCGATAATCGCCAGCTTGGTCTTCTGTATGAGGCCGCGAAGTTGTGTGTGTTGTGTGTGTTGGTGTGCGCGGTGTGCGCGAGCAAAGGTTTTTCTAGATATATTCAAAAAATCACAGAAAGACCACGTGACGAGTACAGAGTACAACCACAGTAGAAGGGGGTGAGTGGGAAGTTGGATGCTAGGCTTGTTTCGAGTCCTTCAGGCCCTAAGCTTGAGATTCTTCTTAAGAACCGGCATTATTCGTGGACCAGAGGGCCCTCGAACCGGCACTACAGTGGCATTTGCCGGTATGCCGGTACCGGTGTTGTTTATTTATTTATTTTTCTTAATGTGACACAACGAATCCATCTCTATCATAGAAAAGAGTCTGTTATACCGGGCTACAGCCGGTCCAGCCGATTCACCGGCATTATTCATTATTCGACCGGCATTATACCGGGACCACTACTGCTGTACTACGACTTGGGTTTTGTTAGGGTTGGGCGCCACCTCTGTCTACATGTTTGTGGCGGAGTATTTCTGCGCGTTGGTGCGTGGTTCTTTCGTTAGGAGGTCTTCACCGTGGGTCGTCTTGGTATCAAGTGTCGCCTAGTGCATGTTGCAGTCGGGTCACGTGGGATCAGGCGTGTTGGGGGTTGGTTGTTTCTTGCTCTAATAGTGGGTTCGTCTTCGCCCGACCGTATCGGGTTGGGTTGGGTTGGGTTGGGGTTAGGTCTCCGCTGTCGATCGCGCCGCCATCGCTTCGTCGTTCGGCGCCGTTGGGTAGGGTTAGGTCGGTCGGTCGGTCGGTCGGTCGATCGGTCGATCGGGCGTCCTTGACCGCCTTCTTCGATCGCGCCGCAGTCGCTCCGTCGATCGTCGTGGTCGGTCGCCCTTGTCGACAATACTACCGTACCAGCGCACTGCTGCTGTCTTTACCGTTGTGCGGAATATTCTGGAGTTGTCACCAACCTTCGCATGCAGGGCAGTAGCAGCAGCACACTATAATACGCCACGTGCCACAACAACGGCGGTGGCAGCCAGCGAGAACCTCTTGCCGACGGCCGTTGCATCAAGCCTGCTCTCAAGGCCCGAACTCACACACCAACAACGCTATTTGGCACGAACGACTGTTGTTGCACCTAGAGAGTCTCCCGCCACACAACCTGCTCTCGGTGCTCTTGCAACACGTACCTGAAGTCCGTCAAAAGGCGCTCCGACCGGCTCCTGCAACACCTCGTATGCGCTGACAGCCGAAGCTTTCGCGTTGCGCGTGGCGACGCCGAACACTGGCCCTTCCGCCGGCGCTACTAGCCGAACGGCATAGCGCGTGGTACCTGCAGCGTAGGAAGCCATGTTCCGGCGGAATGACTGCGAGAGTGATGCCACTATCATCCAGGCGTAAGCCAGCTTCCTCATCAAACGAGCAACCGGGAGAGCAGCTGCGGAGTGCGCAAGTGTGGGCGAGTGGTCGACGCGTGGACGATGTCCGACGTCGTCGTCGGATGTTGGTCGTGCGGATGCCCCTGCCCACCCCGTGCGCAAGAAAAACTATTCGGCGTCGCCCCTACTGTCGGAGCAGTCGAGCAGTTGAATACACAGCACAGCACAGCATCAAGTGTTCTCGAGAGCAGCGTAGTTGTTTGGCACCGTCGAGGCGCTATGTCCGGTCTTCCCTCTGCGCTACTGACCAAGTGGGCCACTCCTTTCGACCATGAAACTGCCAAGCTCAGAGCCTTCCGTGAGTGGACATTTCTGCATGTAGACTGGAGCGACGTGTTTGAACACTCACAGGCTGCAACACTTGCTGTAGACTACAGAGTAGGGGCCCCGGGCGACCCCTAGTGTCACGACGAAATATGGTCGCTATTCAGGGCATGTCGCTAAACCCGTTTTAGCGACCAGTGGTTGCGAAACCGGGATCCTCAATAGCGACTAGCGGTCGCTAAACCGGGAAAAAGCGCCATTTCGTGGGACTGAAGGCCATACTTTTTTTTTTTTTTGTTCTTCACTTCAAAAGAGCGTTCACAGCACTAGTGCCGTTTATTCCAACCCGTGGTCACATACTACTGTATTGCAGAAATCTTCTTGACCGGGTCATGTGTGCGTTGTATTGCAGCAGTCGGGAAAGAAGAAGCACCTTAGAGGGTGGACAACCGGGTAGTGGTTCCTATATGGAATGCATTCCAATCAACCAGCAAGCTTGTTGTACCCTCCGAAGGTTGTAGGATGTCACAACAAATGTACAGAGGGTGCCCTGTGTCGTTCCCGCATGCGGAACAATCTGTCCCTACATTTACATAGACCAACACAAAATAAACACGTAGACTATGCATACATGTAAGAAAGTCCGATCTGCGAATTATAAATAAACAAAGGTGGGAAAGGGGAAAAATTCATGGCAACGTCCCCCAAAAAACAAAACTAAAAACGCCATGGCACGGAGAAAGTTCGTGAACGCCCAAGCGGCAAAGAACCTCGCGCTGCTAGTGACTTCATTCTGCTACTGCTGTCGCGTGTACCGATCATGTTAACTAAACATTTCTCATATGTCCGTCTGTCGCTCTGGTTTCGCGGAGTGTGCTTCGTTGAACAACACCTTTGCCTTGCGCAGATAGTACGCTGCCTCGCTTAACCCACCTCCGCGCACTCTTCTAGCGATTCAAAATGCGACGAGAGCTCCGAGTAGGGCGGCGGCGCCATCACTTCCCCACCCCCGCACCGCCACCTCTCCATCTACCTCTATCTCTCTTTGCGTTTGGGTGGATTCGAGACGGGTGGGGAAGCATGCATGTTCTTGGATACACACGCGTGGCAGGTGAGGTGCATCGATCGATGCTCCACATTCTCACACCTTCGGTTCAGGCGTCCACCGCAGTCACCATGGCAAGCGTGCACCTGGGGTGCCCGCAGTTCAACATCCGGCTGTTTGCACCACTCTCCAATCGGCGCACGGCATGTTGCGTGTGTGTACGTGTCCCGCGGTGTTGTGTCCTTGTGTGTGGAGGAACGCGGGGTCTCCGCAAAAGTTGAACCGATGGTCGCTATTGCCTGATGAAAACAGCCCAATAAGTCGCTATTGAGGGTTCAACCGGTTTAGCGACCATGGTCGCTAAACCGGAGTGCAGCGGTGTCACGAGATTTGGGGGTCGCTAAACCGGGCCCCCCACTGTACATATATCGTCTAGGACACTTGCATGAGGGTAAAAGCGGGGACGAAACCCAGCGAGATAGACGCGCTTTTTATGTCCTTGGCCAAAAACCCATTCAAATGCCCACCGCCGCCGCTAAATGCAGCAACTACTTCTCTGTCATCCGGCCTGTGTTGTCGCCCCTTTCACATCATTATCATTACATCATTACGTCCGTGTACCGACCGAACTCGTTCTCCTTCTCTTCCAAGTGCCGCTTGGACCGTACCCGAACCATCTCACCGAGGACAAGTGCTTGAAGCTCCACGCCATATACCGCGACGCCGTCAACGTGAGTGGTCGAGGACACGTGACAGGGGGATGGGTCTAGGTCTAAAGAAAAAGTACACCGGCGGCATGCAAATTTCGTGTTTTATCCTCCCACATGTGCCGCAAGCGGCCTAACCTTGTAACCCCTCGGTGTGCATACAGCAGTACAGTGGGTGGAAGACATGCTTCGACTGCTGTGGGCTGTGGAGATATCTCGAACTGGGTAGTATTTCCTACTTTTTCTGTCTTTCTGTGTATTTTCCAAACATTGTAAAAACAATATGCATGTACGATATCCGAGAAGGCCAGACTGAGAATGTCCTTCCCGACCCCGCCTTCTTCTTGCGTGCCGCGGAGGATGAGAGTTTGTGACAAGTAAACCATCACCTGGCCGATGCGTCCGCTTGGTGTAGGCCGAGGGTGGCGCATGGCCACATGGGGAGGATTTTTTCGCCCACCCTCTCTCTCTTCTTGTTTTCTGTCTACTGCTGTTCCCGTTATCAAGGTTTTAGTATGCTTACCAGGGGGTCGTAATAGTAGATAACTTTCTTCGCTTGGCGCGCTTCTTGCTTGACGCTTGTACATCTGTATAAATCAACATCGCAAAACGATTTGATTGGCCAGGACACGGAGGAGATCGAGAGCATCGTCGCCTCCAAGCTGAGCGCCCTGAAACGGAAGCGTAGCCAAAGCGGCAGCACCATCCAGAATAGCACCGCAAACGCTGTCGGGTGGGATCAGGCCGGTGGGGGCACCGCAGAAGGCCGCAACACTCCGGGGGGTGGCGGCGGCGGCAGCGGCGGTGTGAAAGACAAGCAGGCATTGTCGCAACAACAGCAGCAGCAGCAGCAGCTGCCGAAGAAGAAGAAGAAGAAGGATAAGGCTCGCACGGCGGACGGCGGCGGCGGTGGGGGGGGCGGGGGAGGCGATGGCCAGCCGCCCAAGAAACGAAAAGGGAACTCCGGGAAGGATAGCAAAAGGTTCGCTTGTTGAATAGGATATGTAGTAGAAAAGGGCGGTCCGCAAATATGGTGGTACCAGAGACAAGGGGGGGGGGGGGGCGTACTCATTTGTTGCTTGCCGTAGTCATTTGACCATTGACCACCCGTCCCTTTCGAGACGGAGCACCGTTCCTACACCTACTAGAGACACCACCAACATTTGGGAGCTCTTTACGTTTCTGCCACAAACTCCATAAAAATTTCTTGCACATCTTATCCCCGTCCTCTAGGGCCTCTTGTGCCCACCATCTATCAAGGGGGGGGGGGGTTATACTCACAGTCCTGCATGTCGTAGTCGTTGTAGACCATTGACCTCGCATCCCTACAAAGCCGGGACGGAGCACGCCGGGTTCTCACCGGACCAGGCTCTCACATCACCAAGCGCGAAGCACCGTGAGGTATTCGGTGAGTCGCATGAAGGGTGCGCTGCATCCTGCTAATTGTTTTGGCATCGTGTGCTTACTTCCTTGCATGCGGATGACAACCGCGTATGACTTAATTTATTTCTGGTGCTTTCACTTCCAGGGACATTTATAAGCACTGTGCAACTGCCTCGAGGGTGCTTGACCATTTTAACACAACATGGTGCGGTCATCCCCCGTTGCGCGGAGTGAGGGTTCTCGACCCCGCACAACTAGTCTATTCGCCCACCATTATGGTTACCGCAAAAAAAATAAACAGAGGAAAAAAGAAAGTGGTAACCCTGGTTGCCGAGGTCACCAAGTGCTCGGCTTGTTTTACAACGTCGTTGTCAAGCGACGAAAACACTGATGGCAAACACCGGGGGGGCGGGGGTTGGTGTACTCATAGCCGTACATGCCGTAGTCATTGGACCACTGACCTCGCATCCCTACAACGCCGGGACGGAGCACGCCAGGTTTTCACCGGACCAGGCTCTCACATCACCAAGCGCGAAGCACCGTGAAGGGGGGGAGGGGGGGTGTACTCTTGTGTTTTGGATACCTTAGTTGTTAGACCATTGACCATGCGTCCTCGAGAGGACGGAGAATTGTTCCCACTGGACCGATCACCGATACGGGAGGGGTGCTCTGGTCGAGAGGAGGGAGACGAGCCAAGTCGACCCAACCTCATTTTGCAACGACCACGTGAACGTAAAAACGCGCCTCTTTTCCGTCCCCCGCTGAAGCAATCATCCCCGCGCCAGCAGGGATCCATGTTGACCATTTGGTCGGGGATCTACAGCATAGTCTATTGGACAAGGTTGCTGCTGCTTTTGCGGGGAAGGCTCGAGCAGAGCAGGAAGACAGGGGTTGGCCAGCATCTGTCGAAATCTGTCTAGACCCTACACATCCAACAGAAGCAGGCGTCGGGTCAGCTCCACGGGTTCATCAACGGCATGAGGTCATACGTTTATCGCTGACAAATACAACGGCCAAATGTAACGATGAGTACCTTCCTCCGCCAATGCATGCCGCGTGTGCTGCACACGCTCTGACTCGCGGAACTTTCCCAGGTCTGTTCCGCAGGGACCGGCGTGGGCTACGCGTACGCCCAAGGCCGGAGATCAGGTACGAGATCTTTTCTTTTTTTTTCTGTGTCCACTATTTTCCCGTTGACGTCCATGCCCAGCACGCGCTTCGATATGGTTGCTTGCCCTCCACGTCGTGCTCGAAAGAAACATAGAGCTGCTCCCTCCTCCCTGTGCCGCTGTGTTACTTGCCGGGTTGGGTTTTGTTGTTTTGTCAGGTTGCCGCCAAGGTCGAGGACGAGGCGCTGTGGATCCTTGCCACGGTGGAAAAACACAACGAGAAAAAGGGTTTCTTCGTTGTCGTGGACGATGACGCCGGCGATGGCAAACGGAGGTGGGTGGATGTGTGTGCGTATTGTATTCAGCATCGACCGCGCTACCCGACTGATGAACGTCAAATGAGAAGGCGTCTGTCTCATTGCGCCTGGAAAAATAAAGATGCCTCTAAAGGTCATGATCTGGGCGTGCGTCTGGCGTGTTTCGTTAATTATTATCGATAGCGCTAACCGACTGGCCAATGACCAAGACGCCGGTCTTTCCAGCGCTCTTGTGTGCTTTTTTTTTAGCATCGACCGCCCTAACCGGCTGACCAATGAAAACATATCATTGTCAGCAGGTTGAATCGACGTCCCCGGCAGCGTGTGTTTGTAAAATATTATTAGCTTGCATCGGCCGCGCTATTGTAGTCTTTCGGCCAATGGCAAGACGCCAGTCTCGTGCATGTGACAAAAGGAAAGATGCGCCTCGTACTCCACACGGTATTTGCGTGCCCGCGCATTTCCCTTTTGCGCTGCCCGCGCTCACCAGTCGGCCGACCAAGAGCTGTCGATCTCAGCCGGCAAGCAATTGTGTGTGAGTTTCGTCATGTGTCATAAACGCGCATAGACCGCGAAATATGTTTGAGCGCGATGATCCGAATAGCGAGGCGATTCCAACAACCTAGAGAACCGAAAAACGGCAGCAGCAACAACGAGTAAATGATCGGAGAAGAATTAAGTACAAGGGCGACCGAAAAATGATCAGTCTTTCATCCCGGCTGTTCCACACAAGAGCCGAAAAACATCCTCTCATCTCAGCCTACGTCTCAGCCAAACAATGTTGTCTTCCCAGCGGGTGTAAGTTTGTTCTTTGATCACCAAGGTTCTTCTATCCGCTTTCTTCATGTCCCCTCCCAAAAACTACTCGTATTACAACAGTAGATCGCAGAAGGCTCTTCTTATCCATTTTCGTTCGTCTCTCCTTCCAGCTGTTGTAAGCTCCACCGCCTTAGGCTTTGTGTTCTACCGCTCTTGTCCCCTTCCTAACGTCTCGGTCCCTCGGTTCAGGCAATTCAAGCTCAGGAGAAGCAACATTCTGACCCTTCCGAGACCGGAGGAAGCCTCGGGAGCCATATTCCCGGTCGGCTCCCGGGTGATGACCCTCTATCCCCAGACCACGACCTTCTACCCGGCTACCATCAGCGGCCCCTTCGTCGAAGGCAGGGTGAGATTTTCTTGCCGCGGCGGTTGTTGTTGCTCTGTTCAGGTGTACCTCCGTATACGTTTTCGTCTACTCGCTCCTTTTCGCACTTAGGTTGTACTTACTCCCTTGTTTCTTGGGTCTGGCACACGTTTGTCGTACATACAGATTTTCTTTTGTCGTGATGTTATGCACGTAAATTATGACGTGTTGTCCTCTGAGAATAACGCGCCGCCTAAAACACTTCGGCTTGAAACAAACGCCACCGGGCGCTCTCGAACGTACGTAGAGTAGCGGAGGATTAAAAGAAAGAAAAGACATCCCGCGGCGTTAAGTCCCCGAGGGCATCCATGTCTTTCATGCCGTCTAGGAAGCTTCGTGGCTCGAGCAGCACGCTTTAAGGGTATTCGTGGTAGACGAAACGGTCTATTGTGGTGGTTGTCGATACGGTGATGTTTTTTGGCCGTCATCTTGCTCTTCGCCCTTGGTTCGAAACCGCTCTTCGGGACTAATGGGCATGCACAAGGGTATCGCTTGATGCTGGGTGAGTCTAGCGGTATTCCATACGGCGCTTGGGCGCTGCGCACCGGGACACTTGCGACAGCCAACTCGTGTATTTCTATTTATTAGCTGGAGTGCCGGGGCGGTGTTTGTTGCTTGATTGTTAAGCTGACGGCAAGCTTTGTGGAACTGTGACAACGGCAAAACGAACAACAACAAAACTCGGGAATGCTAATCACACCACCGGCACGATCAACAGCGTTGCCGGAATGCGTGCGTTGGAAATTTTTTGTGCATGTGTCGGGGACGGCCACAAACAAGCAAAAACATGCGCGTGGCGTTCGCACCTTCTGTGCTTGAGTTTTTTTTTTTCGCTCTTGTTTTGGGAGAGTGTTTGTGTCAGGAGCCATCGCAAGGTTTTCGTATTAAGTAAACATGTTGGATAAAGCATACAATCGGGGGAGTTGGGTTAGGGTTAGGGTTAGGGAATACGGTCTGCGTACCCCCTCCCCGTTCTATTTCGTCATAAACTTGTTAATCGCGCGAAGGCGGTAAGATTTGATGTTCACATAAAATGTCACGGCACGTGGGGTGGTGCTTGTTTGTTTGTTTTTTTGTGTGTTCTTGGATACTCATCTCCATCCCTCCGCGACCTTGACACCGGGAGGGGGTATGGGAATTGCTTGGAATCGGCCATTTTTTGTTGCGGCGGAAGTATTCAGAGAGCTGCGGGCTCCGCCGCGGTTCTGGTTGTTGATCGATTTCGACACGAGACGAAATATGTGTTCCGGGCTATTGTAGCTTTATTGGGACCGTTCTTGGAGGGATGGAACAGGAAATAGGGGGGAAGGGGCACGAAACGTATCACGAAAACGAGGCAAATTGCAGGAGGAGGAGAGAGCGAGAAGGGGGGAGAGAATCAGAGACGAGAGGAAGAGAGGAAACCAAGCACATGGACAAACACAGAAGCGGATATTGGAAGCGAGCAATTAGTACCACGCCCATCAGTTGACCCGCCCTCTTTCCCATCTATTCCTCCCGCCATGGCCTGCCCTTAGGACGGCCGCATCGACTACTGCGTGATGCAGTTCCAAGACGACGACCCGACTCCGGAGGGAGTCCTTCCTCATTGGAGGCTACCCGCACGCTTCGTGCGCTATCGAAGTTGACGGGGGGGACTTGTCCTGTCAACTTGTGATGTCGGTTGCGATTACAGTAGGTCCCTCGTGTCACCGCAATTTTCGAGGCGCGCGCCAAGTTGTATGTGTATAGCAAACCTCGTGTATAGGATTGATGGGCCCCGACGGGCTGGTGGTGATGTTGCCCAACTCGGGCAAGGAACAACTATTCTAGGGCAAATCCGATTTTAGGTGGTATTTGTACACACACCATCCAGAAAAGAAAAGAAAACGACACCGCCGTGTTCAACAATTGCCGATAATATATTCTAAGAGGATTGGCGCCCTTGGTTGATGCAAGCCGCGTTCCCCAATGTACATGTACCCACACAATCCAAAGGCAGAAAGTAGTAAATATGCCTCCTACCTGCCTAAAGCGTCAGCCTATAGCGTCAGCCTCCTTCACGAGGAAAGCGACACGTGGATGATGATTGGAAGCGTAGCAGTGTGTTGAGACGTACCGTAAATGTTGGCTGTTTATCGATTGTCCCCACCTAGTCATGGTTGGTTGCTGTTCCCCCTTCGGCGGGGGTTGCATATGGTGAAACGATTGTTGCCGTCCATTTTTTTTTTTTTGCCTGAAGAGCTCCCGCTTGTGGTGGGTCGGGAGGGAGCTCTGGTCGAAACCTGTCCGTCCGCGGCAGGAGGCTGTTGATTAATAAAGCACACCAGAGTAAAACAGTAAGCGGGCCGGGGGTAGAGCCCCGCCGGCCAGACTCTGCACCCGACACATTAAAAACATGCAATTCTTTTCCTTCGTGTATGACGTTGGAAATCTGTTTTGCGACTGCGGCACTTTCCCTGGTTGGAAAGTATGGCTTCTGGTTTATCATGCGAGAATCGGCGGCATGTACATGCTCTTCCCCGTCGTGGCATTTCGCTCAAAACAACATCTCGACACCGGATTGTGTGTGAAAAAACAATACAGCTGTTCCGTTACAGGCGGTTGTCTGGAACGGACAGTGTACTTTGTACGACGACATTATCGCCCTTTTACGTTTTACATGGGCTGCTTCTAATTTTATCAAACGAGAGAGTGACCAGAACCCGATCTACAGCAACGGTGTTGCCACGTTGCCACACGACCGCCACAAGTTCGCTATTTACAGTCTCTAGCAAACTGTCGCTTCCGACCTCTATATCGCAACCCACCACACACACACGACGCACGACCATTGATCCCCCGCACACGCGTTGCACAAACAGTTAAAAATCCATATTAAGTTTACTCCCGCGTCTTTTGTTTCCACCTCTTGCTTTCCACCTTTACCCTTGGCTACGTTCCATCCGGCGGCGGGATGGGCGCAATCATGGCCCGCGGCAACCCCAACTCCTCCTCCGCCCTGACGAACCCCATGTCTTCGTAGAAGCCGAACAGCCCGCCGGTGCCGTTGTCCTCCACCACGATCAACGCGAACCGGAACCCCCGCCGGGCGAGGCTGCGCATCGCCTCCAGAAAAAGCCGCTTGCCCAAGCCCAGCCCCCGATACCGAGGGTCGACGAACACGTACTTGATCGGCGGCACCGGGACGCCCACGAGCGGGGACCCCTGCTGCCGCGCCGCCAGCGGCGAGTCCCCCGCGACGACCTGCTCCCTTCTTGCTGCCGCGGCCGCGGAGGACGTAGAAGAAGACCCGAACAGCTGTTGCAGCGCCGCGTCCATGCGGGGAGAGGCGCCCGCGTCGGTGCTCAGGCCCGCCTTCCCCACCTGTCGCCGCCGGGACCAAGGGAAACGCCTTCGAAGCACGGCTTTCAGAGTAACCTCGCCCGGCTTGTCGGCCCCGATAACCCCCCGCCGCCACCAAGAGGACACCCCCCCGTCCTCGACGAGGTCAATCACGGGGCGCCCAGCAGAGTCCACGACGGGGACGTCCATGCCCGCCAACCCTTGGCGGTAGTACCGGTGCGCCAGGGTGGTGTTCATCCGTTGGAGATAGTAGCTCCGCGGGGGGTCGACACCCGCGGGTGCCGTCCCGGCTGCCGCAGCTGCTGCCGCACCGCCCGCCGGCGGTGGGTGCCTCCCGTCGGCCGCTTCGGCACCGAGGTCCGACCCGCTGGCCACCCAAACCCGATCCAGGATATCCTGATCTCTGATCCAAGGCGCGTCTATGTGCCACGCGGGCGAGCCCCACTGCCACCGAGCGGACTCCTCCGCCACCGACGGGTGCTGAATAGAGGCGAACCCCCTCAGCAGCAGCACCGGCGGGTGCTCTTGCCTAGACCCTTCGCTGTTCCCGCTGCCCGCCGGCGCGCCATCCCCGTGAGGTATTCTCAACGACGCGTGGCGAAGTTTTCCAGAGAATATAATCCCCGTCCCTTGGCCGCCTGGCCGAAAGCACTCCCCGCGCTGCTCCAAGCACACCGCCCAGGGGCACGGCAGGAGGGCGTCTTCGGCGCTTAAAGCCACGGAGAACGTGAGGAGCGATCTACTCCGTCTGAACTCGCTCGCCTCGATCGACAGCTGCGGCTGCTGCCGCTGCTGCTGCTGCTGCTGAAGTTTCGCTGATGCTGCCGCTGCCCCGTCCACGGCTTCATGACGTGTCCCTACCGACCGCCCTCGTCCTTCTTCCGGCAGGGCTTCGTCCCGCAGCCCGTCAACGTCCAACCCGACCTTGCACACGAACAACGCGTTCACGGTGATACTACTCTCCGGGACGCCGTACAACCCGGCGACGCGCGCGCGGACCCTGTCTCCCGCCTTCCCGTCCCAGAGCGCGCGAGAGAGCGGAAGGTTCTCGAGACTGGTCCCCAAGGCGCGCGTCCCCAGGTCCCCGTCCCACGGTGCCCAATCGTCGACTTTAAGAGCTTCACGGACGATAGTGTTGCAGTCCCTGGGAGAGATTAGCCCCCCCAGCCCGACACGCATGAGGGAGTTTCCGGCGGGGAGGCTTGTTGCGTCCGGGGAGGAGGTCGGCGTCCGCGACAAGGCCCACGCTGATCGGGCGCGGGCGTACAGCCGCCGCAGATTCTGTCGAGCTTTGCTGACCGTGTTAGCCTCGCCCGTCCGGTCGCGCTGCTGTAGCCACACGGTAGACATCTCCGACCTGGAGATAATCTTAACTACGCTCTGTGGGGAAGATGGTGGTCGTTGGAAGCGTGCGGCGTATTGGTGCATAGGGCGTCAACAACGGGTGGGTGACATCGGGCTTCATGTTCATCACTCGTCTGTTGACGAGAATGTTGCTGAGAAAGTTGGGGGAAGCGTTGGACGGGGAGCAGGAAACCAATGGCTTGGACTGGAGGGGCTCGAGCTTGTGCCCCGCGTCTTGCGCACGCTTTGCGCTTGAGCAAAATCGCGGTAATTGTATGTTTTCACCCTTCAGGATTACAACGATCCACGCCGACAGCCGATATTTCTCGTTCTTTTCTTCGAGGAGCATGCTACAAGGTCAGCAGGCTGCCGCGTGTCCTTGAAATATTCATTCATGAACATCCTGAATTGAAATGTTTGACTCTGATCACTACTATGTGGAGGTCAAATATATCTTACACACTTCAAATATACCTCGATCTCGCGCTCGAGTAGGCGTTGATCCGCCACCAGCGGCCCGTGCTCCTTCCCTGCTTCTCGCATGGCGGAGTCCATCGTGGGTCCCTTTGTCCACTCAACCGGGGTGGCGTGGAGGACATGCGCAAATGCATTGGGTGAGATTGGTGGCTCGGGGTGGGGATTTCGACGTGAACAACAATACGCGTTGCACCTGATATCTGGCGCAGGCGACGGCAACTTTGGTATTGTGTGGTACTTGTTTTCAAGATACGTGGCACCCGAGAGGTTCGGGGCGAGTACCTCCGTGTAACGCGGTTTTCCTACATGCACCAATGACCTAAACAGCTACACAAACTGCAAGACTAATAATTATGATTTCCGTGTAAGTGTAGACAATATGGGTGTGGCCGTACGCTCTCCACGGATGAAGAGTTAAGGAATAATAAAAACACACACAGAAAGACTACCCATTCGAGATATACCCACAGTCAAGAGTAATCTGGCGCTCATGCGCTTCCTACAATGGTGACGTATTGGTAAGCGCTGTGGTGCACTGCTGTACTCTGGTGCATGATCGACCCTGCTGCTGCTGTGTTGCATGATGAGTCCTGAATTTGGTGCATGATGACTGGATAGCAACGTGGCATGGTTCCCTGTGCCACCCATACTTGTGTGGCACGTATTTGCCCCAGGCTTACCCCCTGGCCGATGCCGCAGATGTCCCAGCAACGGTCGCCGAGCGCAAGCCTTGCGCCGCCGCTGCCACTCTCTTCAAACCCCTCCAAGTACGCGCTCGGCCCGCCATCTCGATGGTGCAAGACGAGATAGTTCGAGCTGGTCAACGTGGCCACCGCGTTCGCGCCCAGCAGGCGGCGGGATCGCGTAGCCCCGAGCACGCGGTGCAGCTTCCCGTACACGGCCAGGGTGTTGGTGTCCCGCACGCCGCGTTCGAACTCCAAGACGACCGCTGTTGTTCTTGCTGCCGCTGCCACTGCCGCTGCTGTTGTCGCTGATGATGCTGATGGCGTTGTCATCGGTGCTTCGTCGTCGGAGATCGATCCCAACCCACGGGCTTGCGACCGACGGTGCACCGCGGCCATTGGGCTGCCACACCCGATCCTTCGAAGTCGTCGTCGACTGGCCGGTCCCCCCGTGGCAGCGAATGCTACTGCTGGGGTAGATGCCCCGGCAGTGCACCCGTCATGTGTCCCTTCACATCGCGGTGGTTCCACCCACCACCTGGTTTTCTCCACACCAGAGCAAGGTTGCGAACACCAAGCAATCGACCGTGGCAGTGCATAGCAGGCAGGCCGGTGTTGCAAGCGTACCGGGGATAGAAGAAAACCTACGCCGGCAGCGGCTGCTTTGCAGCGCATCCTTGTTCGCTGTGTGCGAGATGTACTGCTGTAGCATCACAGCATCAACATGAGGCAACGTGCGGCGCAACTTCGAAAACGGGTTCGCCCGACTGCCCACTGCCCACCCCCGAAAAAACCATTAGACCAAAGAAGGTATACAGCAGTTCATCTGATCAGATGAACCAGAGGATGAAGCTCGAGATGAAGTCATGTGTTGTAAAACCTACCTGTGTTTGTACTGATGGGCCTCGAGCAACATAAACACACGGCAGTTGATATACATTTCCAGAACTACTACTGCTGTACACCGCACAAGTACCCTTTCAGCCAAAAAGTTCCTGCACCGCTTCGCGGCGGACTGATATAAAAATCATCAGCGTCTAGACTTAGGTGTACCTTTCTAGGGTAAGCTAACCTGTGACCACGGGAATCGACCGTGTCGAGTGTTGGATCAGTAGGGACATACAAAGGTACTGGGTAGAGAGAGATCGGAACGATTTTTAATGTGAATACAACAACAACAACAACAACAACAACAACAACTTCAAAAAAAAAAAAAAGACTCGAAATAAGTCCAGTACCTAGCCGGTTTTTTTCCTCCACTCACTGAAAAGACTCCCACCACATCCCGTTCGACTGTGGGTATATCTCGAATGGGCAGTCTTTCTGTGTGTGTATTTATTATTCCTTAATTAGGACTCCACATTCCGTTCCTACACATGATGACAACAAAACCTTCCGTGCGGTGTGTGCGACATTACTAATAGCACAGGTGCCGCCGTAAAGTTTCTCTTGCGGCATGGGAGTAGTAGGTGGTCCCCGTGGACACGCCCTCTTTCTTGGACGTAATATCCACTTGTACAGTATGTAAGTTAGCCTGTGACCACGGGAATCGACCCCGTCAAGTGTTGGACTATGAAAAGTACGGACAGAAGAAGGTACTGGGCAGAGAGAACGGAACGGTTGTTACTGTGAAGACAACAACAACAAGTTGGATGCCTCTTGACCTGAACGAAGGTTCGTGAATGGACTGACGCATTCATTCCTTACTTGTGGAGGAACTCTACCCACGTCTATATCTATCTATCTTTCAACAATACAATGGAGGCAGCCAATGGAATAACCCTTTACCAACTCTACTTTGCGTCCAACGTTTTTCCTACTATTTGAAGGTTCTCCGCCATCTTCGATGCACCTACAGTAGTGCACGAATTGTCCAAGTTTGAAAATTCCAAAATTGTGTGCATATCACACTTACCACATTCATTCTCCTTGCCGTTTTCTCTTCCCCAAATTCAGGTGGGCATGAATAAAACAGAATCGGACCAATCACGCGGCACACCTAAAAGACAGATGGCACACAAGACCTGTGTACTACGCAGTTATTGAACCAAGACAACCACCGAAAAATGTGTTGCGCTACTACGTTATCAAACCTTCTCAGCAAACGACTTCGGACACCAACAGCATTCCTCCACAAACGCAGAACACGGCGAAATCACCAGTGGCGGCGAGAGGGAGAGAGAGATAGCTCCCTATATTTTATTTTTTATTTTTATTTTTGTCTTCACTTCAAATCAGCGCTCACAGCACTATTGCCGTTTTCTCCAACCCGTGGTCACACAGAAGAGCCCCTCTCTACCCTCCCCTCCTGCGGTACTTTGCCTTCGATTTTCAATGCGAGAAGAGTTCAGCACTCTCTTCCCTCTGTGTACACGCGAACTAGCGCTATCCACTAGGCCAGGAGCGGAAGCGAGAGAAAAACTCAATTGGCACGAAAAGCTCGCTTGCGCCGGGGTTCGAACCCGTGACCTGACCTCTAGAAGGTTTCGAGGATACCAACTAGACCACCGGGGCGAACAAGCCTGACAAACACACGGTACTGTACAAAAAAAAGAAGGCACACAAAAATGTAAAGAAAAAATAAGAAGAAAACGTGCGTACGCCTCGCAAGGAGAAACGAGAAAACACTAAAAATAAACACACACCGACAAAGAAGAACGAGAAGCTCGATTTGAGGAAGGGAGCACAAGCCCCTTAACCCTCACGCTGATGCTGTGGATAGAAAGCCGCTGATATATAAATAAAACCAAAATCTCCCGAACCCACACTACGTGAGGTGGAAACAAGCTCAACTCCAAATGAGTTCACCATGTGAGAGACCACCCCCGACCGGTAAGAAGGCGCTCAGCCCCCCCCCCCCCCCATTGCCTGTCCTGGAACCCCCGCCGCCGGAGGACTCTCACCCTGGCGAAGCCCTCGCTCACACCGTCCCCTCCCAGCCAAGACAAGGCCCATCCCAACCCTACCACACCACACGCACGGGCCATCACCAGACTCGTCCGGCCTTCACCAGGGGAAAGGAAACGACAATCGATCGTTCAACCGCCGCAGGGCGGGCGGCAACGCCCCCTAGAGAATTCCCTCCCACTCGAGGAAACTCCTGTCGCACGCGCAGCGGCGGCGCTCTACAAGGCCTACCACGATCATCGTCGCCATCAGCAGCAGGACCGATGCTGGTCGAGGGGGTATATGGCAGTAGGCCGTGCCAACTCCGTGATGCCGCCCCTCGTCTCTCATGAGAAAAACGACCCCAGATTGGTACTCCCACCCCTTCGCGTGACGGCCCCACGCGCGCTGGACGAAGAACCGACGTGTGGCGGTCCCACCACGTAGCGGTGGCAGCAGCAGCGGTAGCAGCAGAGGAGGAGGAGAAGGAAAAATGCTTCATACTGCGCCACCCCCGATCATATTACTTCTCCTGAGCCCGATAAGGTCCCTTCTCCGTGAGAGTGGTTCCGCCGGTGCTATGGGCGCTCCGTCTCCGATTTGCTCGCCTTCTTCTGCGCCATCTTCGCCTCCACAAACTCATCCACCACGACGGGCCATGCGTCTGGACAACGGGGGGGGGGGGCGTGGGAAATAGGAACGGGCGGGGGGGGGGGGGGGCCATATCAATGCGACCGAGACCTCTTACGGGGATAATGAAAACGGGCAAC